AATGTTTTTATGTTTTAAACCTTCAAATGTTTTTATTTGTTTCAAACATTCAAATGTTTTTATTTGTTTCAAACATTCAAATGTTTTTATTTGTTTCAAACATTCAAATGTTTTTATTTGTTTCAAACATTCAAATGTTTTTATGTGTTTTAAACCTTCAAATGTTTTTATTTGTTTTAAACATTCAAATGTTTTTATGTGTTTTAAACCTTCAAATGTTTTTATTTGTTTTAAACATTCAAATGTTTTTATTGTGTTTAAAGCTGAGTTTGTAAAAAAGATATTTTGAGCTTTGATGAGTCTGAAAACATCTGCTGTCAATTAAAGAAACAAAACCTTTTAGTCCAGAATGAAAAACATGATTTAGTGAACGTACTGACCTGAACAAACAGCAGTAAATGTTTCTATAAATACACAACATAAATTAATTTACACTCTATTTACACTGATAAAACCTAACGGGGCTTCTCTGTGTGTGTGGACGTCTTCATGAGGGCGGTTTGAGTTTTATGGAGGGTTTTGATGAAATAAATCAGTTCTTTTGTGTTGTTGTTGGTTTTTAGGCCCATCTACCACTGGAAGCGAAGCTCCTGCTCATGCTGTAGATGTTGGTGGAGCTCTGGTGTTTGCCCCAGGCTCCCAGCGGGACGATGACGATGGTGGCGTTGTCCTCCGAGCCGTACTGCAGCGCCTGAAACACATTTCCTGCTGCTGATTCTGACCTTTTTATAGATGTTTCTGTTCTTGTCTCGTATTTACTTTAAGAATGGTCTACCTGCTCAGAGATGACCTCTGCAGCCTCGGTGGGGTCATGGCACCGGTTGATGACATCACAGATCTCCTGGTCACTCAGCAGGAAGTTGATCCCATCTGAGGTCAGAGCCAGGAAGGAGTCGTTGGCGTGTTGGACCTGCAGAGACGACGCGTGCTGATTGTCAGGAAGTAACGGGACTGTTTGTGAAAAACGGTCGTACGGTGCCGCTCTGGGACTCACCGTGACTCGTTTCGTTTCAGGCTCTGCGATGACACCACTTGATTTCAGGTGGAAGTCTCCTATGCTGCGCGTCATGGCGAGCCGTCCGTTTACATTTGCCTGACCGACGCTGTTCCACGACAGGAAGCCACCGGACCTCTGAATCCTGAACACAAACATCAAACAGGACGACTTCCTGTCTGGTGAAAGTTTCAGAGTAAAAGATCCACCCTGGAGTAGGAATTCAAACGTTCTTCTCATCAACCGTGTGGCTCAGAATCGTTTTATCTCTTCACCCTCCTACTGTCCTGGGGTCAAAATGATCAAAGGATCATTATATATCTTCACCCTCCTGCTGTCCTGGGGTTAAAATGATCAAAGGATCATTTTATCTTTTCATCCTCCACTGTCCTGGGGTTAAAATGATTGAAAGGTTATTTTATCTCTTCTCCCTCCTGCTTTCCTGGGATTAAAATGATCAAAGGATCATTATATATCTTCACTCTCCTGCTGTCCTGGGGTTAAAATGATCAAAGGATAATTTTATCTATTTGCCCTCCTGCTGTCCTGGGGTTAATATAATCAAAGGATCATTTTATCTATTTGCCCTCCTGCTGTCCTGGAGTTAAAATGATCGAAGGACCATTTTATCTCTTCACCCTCTTGCTGCCCTGAGGTCAAAATGACCAAAGGATCATTTTATCTCTTTTCCCTCCTGCTGTCCTGGGGTTAATATAATCAAAGGATCATTTTATCTCTTTTCCCTCCTGCTGTCCTGGGGTCAAAATGACCAAAGGTTAATTTTATCTCTTCACCTCCCTGCTGCCGTGGGGTCGAAACGACCGAAAGGTCATTTTATCTTTTCGACCCCTGCTGTCCAGGGATCAAAATGACTGAAGCATCATTTAATCTCTTCACCTTCCACTGTCCTGGGGTTAAAATGATTGAAGGGTTATTTTATCTATTTACCCTCCTGCTGTCCTGGGGTTAAAATGATTGAAGGGTTATTTTATTTATTTGCCCTCCTGCTGTCCTGGGGTTAGTATAATCAAAGGATCATTTTATCTATTTGCCCTCCTGCTGCCCTGAGGTCAAAATGACCGAAGGATCATTTTATCTCTTTTCCCTCCTACTGTCCTGGGGTTAAAACGATTGAAGGGTTGTTTTATCCATTTGCCCTCCTGCTGTCCTGGGGTTAAAACGATTGAAGGGTTATTTTATCTATTTGCCCTCCTGCTGTCCTGGGGTTAAAATGATCGAAGGACCATTTTATCTCTTCACCCTCTTGCTGCCCTGAGGTCAAAATGACCAAAGGATCATTTTATCTCTTTTCCCTCCTACTGTCCTGGGGTCGAAATGACCAAAAGGTCATTTTATCTTTTCAACCCCTGCTGTCCAGGGATCAAAATGACTGAAGCATCATTTTATCTCTTCACCTTCCACTGTCCTGGGGTTAAAATGATTGAAGGGTTATTTTATCTCTTAGCCCTCCTGCTTTCCTGGGGTCAAAATTTTATCTCTTTGCCCTCCTGCTTTCCTGGGGTTAAAATGATCGAAGGGTTATTTTATCTCTTTGCCCTCATGCTGTCCTGGGGTTAAAATGATTGACGGGTTGTTTTATCTATTTGCCCTCCTGCTGTCCTGGGGNTGCTGTCCTGGGGTTAAAATGATTGACGGGTTGTTTTATCTATTTGCCCTCCTGCTGTCCTGGGGCTAAAATGATCAAATGATCATTTCATCTCTTCACCCTCCTGCTGTCCTGGGGTTAAGAGTAAATTTATGTCCTTGTACTTTTTGGTTTTGACTGATGTGCACAGCTAAACGTCGGCTGTTACATAACGTCGGCTGCTTTTAGCTGAAGGGAATCCCAATCCTTTGGACCTGCAGCTCTGCTCGTTTCAGCGTCTGGCTGAACCCCAGGAAAGTTGGCTTCCCTCCATTTATACCCAGAGAGCAGGAGGGGATCCTGAGCCCTGAAGCTCTGGTCTTTCATCAGCTCAGCCCGACATCACAACCCAGGCTTGCGTACCGTTGCCTCTCGTCTTTGCGGTCCGGCGTGTGGTCTTTGGTCAGCTTCTTAGCTTGTCCCTTCCTGCACAGCATCGCCCGACTGTCGCCGACGCTGCCGACCACCAGCTCCACGCCGTCACGTAACAAAGCAACCGTCGCCGTGGTTCCCGCCGTCAGAAAGGAAGCTGGGGAAGAGGAGAGGCGGGAAATTTAAATACTGTATCAAAATATCAGCACTGCTAATCGTCCCCCGCGCCAACGTGTGGCTGCAGGTTCATGTCTAACCGTTGTTGAAGTAGCTCAGATGTGTGTGCAGAGCCGTGTCGGCGTCTAAAAAGGCTTTCTGCAAAACCTGTTCCAGATCACTGTCCTCCTCCAGAGCGTCTCTGCAACAAAACATCAAGACTTTTATTAAAATATGCTAATCCGCTGTTAGCATAACTAGCTTCTCATTTAGTGGATTAGCTTATAATTATTATAATTTTTTTTTGTTGCTATTTTTGGAAATTTTTAGTGGACCAATTAGCTTCTACTCAATTACGTTAACTAACAAATCCACAAGTGTAAAATTTCTCTATTTTTATGCCAAGTGTGTCAGGCACCATGTGTAGCATGTAGCATTTTTAGCAGCTAGTCTTAAAACTAAGAGCATAAAAAAGAAATAAAATAATATTTAACAATATTCAAATAAATACAAAAAAGTATAACATATAAAATATGAGAGGAAGTATTTGTTGTTTGACTAACTTAAAACTTTATAAAAATATTTACTCAGCCACGTTTTATTATTTATGACTGGCTTGGATTGGCTGATTTGCCACAGATGATCCCGCCCACCTTCAGATTAAACCAATAGAAAACTAGAAACAGGTTTCTGTCCAATCCACACACCTTTAACTGGAAGAAGGTGAAGACTGACCGTCATCTTGGCGGCTAGCGTTCACTTCCACTAATTCTGTATCACTTTAGCAGTTAGCATTAGCGTCTGCTAATTTTAAAATTGTTGTGCAGATTAGCATTAACTTTCAATAATTTTGTATCAGTTTAGCAGATTAGTGGTTAGCATTAGCTTCCACTAATTTTATATTTATTTAGCAGATTAGCAGTTAGGGTTAGCTTCCACTAATTTTGTATCACTTTAGCAGTTTAGCGTTAGCTTCCATTAACTTTGTATCAGTTTTGCAGATTAGCGGTTAGCGTTAGCGGAGCTACGGTTTTTGTTTAGTGGATTAGTGGTTAGTGTTAGCTTCCACTAATTTCATATCACTTTACCAGATTAGCGGTTAGCCTTAGTGGTTAGCGTTAGCGGAGCTACGGTTCTTGTTTAGTGGTTAGCATTAGCGGAGCTACGGTTCTTGTTTAGTGGTTAGCATTAGCGGAGCTACGGTTCTTGTTTAGTGGTTAGCGAAGCCAACATTTGGGTTAGCTCCACCAACCACTGAAAGACGTGTTTGGGACATTTTGTTTAAAGTTTAATAAAACTCCACCTGATGAATTTCTCCATGAACGTGTAGCAGTAGTCGGCGGCGTGCGGGCCTCCGTGGCCATCGAACACGGCAAAGTACAGCAGGTTGTCGTGGATACGGGCGATCCGGAGGCGGTCCTCATTCTGCTTCCTGAGACCCAAAACGGACGCGCTGCCGACCCGAGACAGACTGACCTGAGAGGAAGACCAGCCCGCTCAGGTAACGCCTGAAACCCTCACATAACACTCTGTTTACAGGTGAACTCACCTGTTTACAGGTGGACCAGGTGAACTCACCTGAGGAATGGGTTCTCCATATCTGATACTGGAAGGCAGCAACACAGGTTCTTCTATCCGGTTGTCCCAGATCCCAAACGAGTCCCAGGTCACCGGTTGGACACTGCCGTCATCAGCAAACCTGACGGAGCCGCCGAGCCGCCGAACGCCCACCGTCCCTAACAAAGCCCCGCCCACCTGAGGGACAGGTGAAGGAAGGACAGACTTCAGTGTCGGGTCAAGTTAAAAACCTGCAGCAGATATAAAAACGATGAAGCTCGTTTTTTATTTTTATAAAGTCCAAGTTAAAATTCCTCCTATGATCCAAAGCTTTGTGGCTAAACACAACAGAAACACTGACACCTAGTGGTGGAGCTGCAGAATGCAACCAAAGTGATCAGGTAAATCATGATGTCATCTTTAAAAACACCTGTGCAGAGAGCAGCTTCACCTGTCCGCACGGCGTGGAAGCTTCCTGCGCGGATCGAACAGCGGAGAAGGTTTGTCTGGAGAAGGAGGAGCGAGCGCATCGAAGAAGGCTGAGGAGCACCGGAGTGGACATGGCTGACTGTCATCAACAGCTGCAGGTGTTACAGGAGGCGGAGTTACCTGGCCAGGTGATCTGGAAGAAAGACAACGAATGAAATGAGAGGAGAAACCTTAAAGGTCCCCGATATTAACCAGGTTCATGTTCCTGGTTGTGTTTCTGTGTGTGGTTTATAAATAACTGCAGCTGCGCAGAGAAATACTTCCTCAGGTTACAAGGTCAGGTTCTATAAATACTCGTTCAGATGAGAAATACCACCTGGAAATAAACAAACATGAACTGTCGACTTAACTTTAATAAAACAAACTGATTCTAATGGGATGAACTCAACATTTTAAACAATTAGTGCGAATAGTTTTGTTTGAAGACTGAAAACATGTTTTTACTCAGTACGACTTTCATTGGTACTTTAGATCAGAGTACACAATAAAAACACACAACAATATATTTCAGTATTTAGGAGTTCACTGCATCCAGGAACACAAAACTATAAAATGTAAATAAGGTTTCAATCTTAGAAAAACAAAAACAAACAGAAACACATTCTCGCATTAAAAAAAACAAAAATATTTAATCAATAATTTCATTATAAATATTCTATATTTACATATATAAATGTTTTATATAATATATACTATAAAATATTAATTCTATATCATAAACAATTTGTTTAAACATATTTTTGAGTTATTTGTAAATATTTAAACAGAAAAAGCACAGTTTAGCTTTAGGCAGTAAAAACTGCAGAAATCTCAAAACTGCAAAAAAAACTTAAATATTTTAGAATAATAAACTCTTTAAACAACAGCAGAAATTTAATTATTGATTAAACTTTAAAAATGTATATAAAGGTCGAGAAAC